CTATTACATTCTCTGCGTTGTAGTACAATACTGCGAATAAGGCTTGGAAGTCCGGGATCCATCTGATTTGATGGATCATACTATTCTCGCCCACATTCACAGGGTTTTCTTCTTTATGAAGGCGATAGGAGGTATTCTCGGAGCAACCGATAGTCGACCCACATTTTACGAGGGGACGATCGCGGTCTGATCCATGAACTGATCCGCGTGCACAGCCACATCACCCTTTTCCTCAACCGCCACGTTGATTACCCGTGCCGTTATGGCCACGCCTCGTTCAACATCCTGCTTGTCTCGTGGGCTGTTAAGAAGCCTGGGTCGAATGATAGTGGGACGCTGGTTGTGGAACCCGCAGTATGATCAAGACGGGTTAATTTGAGCGGGATCTGGTGTGTGCACTGACCGCTTGGGTGGACGAAGACCGCTGATTTAGAACTTTCTGAAGGCGTCGTTACAGTCGGCTTCAATTGAGCCTCAAATGTATCGACTTGGCTTTGCGCGCCCGCTGCCAATGCCTCTTTTCTACGCGCGTCTCGATGCAACTATTGGACCTCCCGCACGAGCTGCTCTCATACATTGTGCACTTCGTCAATCCCGATATCCTCCGCACGCTCTGTCTCACAGAGAAACAAAACCTCCATCATATAGCTCGTCATTTCCTGTGGAGGAACATCACCGTCATCTTTGGTACCGACCCAAATCCGAAACCCAACCTCTTTTCCTTCAATTCTGGGCGCTTAGCAGCTATCAGGTCCCTCTCTGTAGTCGTGGACGGTTACTTGGACGTCTCTCTCTCATCATTTTCCTCGGCCTTCGCGTTAATGATCAATATAAACCATGTTCGTGTGAATGGCGGATCAGGCCCCTTCATTCGCTTCATTCTCGAGAATACGATGGCGTCTCTCGTAACTCTGGAATCGGTTTGCTGTGATGCGGAGCCACAGGAAATTTCTGACATGATATCCATCGTTATCGGGGACCTATGTATCTCGATATGTCATTCTAGCATGCGCTTTCTTTTGGGACCTCTCACTGTCGAAGACTTGGAGGTCCACGGTCCAGGTTCGTTTCTCTATACCTGATCCCATATCAACTAACACGGACGATCACAGATCTTGATAGGGATTGTATGCCTATCGGCCCAACATTACGGCGACTAACAAACGTCCATCTGGACAAATTGAAAAGATTATATCTCGTCGATGCATGCCGAGATGGGGGATGCCGTGACCTTTTGCATTTGGCGCGTGCTTTGGAGGTAACCGGTAAGCACTCGAACTTCGGTTGCTATAGTTTCATCTTCAGTTAATTTTGGATATCCTAGCGTCCATTTTCGTCACTCGAGGAGCTCGTTCTCAGCATCCCTCTCTCGGATAATATTCACCACCAGCTGATGCTGCTCATACATGCCTTTCCCGTGCTTAAGAATTCTCGCGTCGGTTCTAGAGCTAATGAGACTTCGATTGGTATGTTTTTCTCGTTTATTCCGTAGAATTGGTCCGAATAATTTGCAGTTTCATAGGCTTCACTAACAGATTATCGTAAACTATATGGACTACAGATTGAGAGGATGAGTCTTCCCACATTGCTGCAGCTTTCTCTTTCATACTAGCCTCCTGTATGAAACCGATTGCAATGTCCTTATACTTGGCATCTCTGCTACCAGGTCACTATTTATAATCGTTGCAGGACATTTTAGCACTATGTATTCATCTTTTCCCGCAATATTCGCCAAAATACTAGCACTCGATCAAGATATTGCCACGACTCATAAAGTGTTTACTACATAGACGGATATCCTTCATGAAAATCCAGGGCGACATCGCCCGTGTTTGCGGTGTATAGTGTGTCCTTCAGCCCTGTTTTATGTACTGCGGGAGCTTATGGCCTTAGCATCAGCTCACGACGGCGTCGACTGGTCCGACCCACGACCCCCCATCCATTCCTCGCATCACGTCTTTGTGTCCCGTATCGCTATCATCCTCTTACTGTCGTATACTCTTCCGGCGCCGTGTCATCCCTTTACCCTTGCATTTTCCACGGCACAGTGACGAGCATATTCACTGACTGTGAGTTGGACTCAGACTTCAACTAGGCGACAAATAAGTATGTGTAAAGAAGAACGTAGACGGCCATCTTAGTGTCGGGTCTACGATAATAGCCAGTATGACATGTACTTACTTGAAAATTGGTAGGATTGTTGGTGGAAAGGCTATCATTACCGGTCGTCTTCTGTATCGGTTCCGAAAATATCTACTGGGACTTATTTTGTTCAATTCGTTTCCTCGAGTGCTTTCTTTGAGAATAGAAGGATTAATGGTGTAAAGGTTAACGCCCGTCTTCTGCATGACGGTCGAAGGGCTCGATTCCCCACCCCCAATAGTGGTTGATACGATTTGCTTTTTGTTCAATTCGTTTCCGGACACCGTTCATTGCTTCATGGTTCTTTCAGAATTCTGTATGATCAAGTAAGGCCAATATCCTCGTCTTGATTATTCTGCCTGAAATATACATGTGCTGTTTTTACGAAGTACGAGCCTAGAGTCCATTCTACGGTAAATTCTGTGTGCCAAGTTTATGAAGTGGGTGAGGTTGTCCCTCTTTCTGCAGCGCGGGGTTCTATTCCCCCTGTCTGAAAATATGTGAGTGATGAATAATTTGTTTTCATCACATCACACGTGGACTTAATTTCTTAATAGCTGATGGCCACGGCGAGGGCTCCGACCCTATTTCCTTCATAGGAATGAGGATGCGTTTGGACAATGCAATAAGGTGAGTGATGGGCATATATCTCAGTGCTCTGTCTAGGTGACCGTTGAGAACAAGGAGCTTCTGAAGTATCAGGAACTACTCAGAGGAGCTCGATGAAAATGGAGTACAGTGAACTATTAAGATTGGGCAATAGTGTCGGCCTACCTCGCTTCAAAAAATATATCGCATACGCGAGACCCAACCATATCTTCCGTTTCCCAGGGCGTTTAAGAAGCATACGTCTATTTTTGTTACATGTGATGTGCGAGAGCAAATTAAAAACATCAATTCCATCATAGAGTTCATTTTTGGCTGGCAGAGATGGAAAAGGACGGAGCCGGATCTTGCCGAAGACGATCCGCTTCGACCATCAATGCATCATTCATCATTGCCAGCTATACTCGCCGTTTATTCCTCTGGTACCTTTGCCATCACTTCTTTAACTCTTTGTCCCTGATTCCTCCGCCGAATGCTACTGCCTAATCCTCCCATGGGCGAATGAAGGTCTTGGATTGACCGCATCCTAAACTCTTTGGGTGACATGTACGTGGCGAGGTTTTTCGATGACGAGTCTTTGATGCTCACGGTAGCCAACAGTCAGACCATTTTATCCAATCTGCTTGCGCGCTCCGTGCGTCCTCGTTTTCAAGGATATGAGAAATAAAGAGTACGACCCGTGACAGCGACAACTCGATGACACGATTGAAGTCACCGAGAATGAATCAAAGCAGACTTGAAGTGAGCGCTACGGAGTACCGGTGGTAGGTTTTTTTACTGTAGGTATTCTACCTTGTTTTTCAGTGTCTGGACAACTCTAATCATCTATCCTTTCACAAGTCTCTCGGACTCTAGCAGTAGATCTAAGGACGCGCGCATTTCAACATCGTAATCCAACCCCACCTCGCTGCCGAGGAGAGCACTATTCTCAGCCGTCTATCATAACTACGATTACGATTCAGGCGGACGTACAATGGGAGGATAGTCTAGCTGATCATCATCATCAGTCTGCGACTGAGTTCAATCTGGTTTCGCATGCTGCAGTCGGTGAGTCGCCAGTGTTGCTTTGTGATCCTCTCTCAGAGGCTGAGATCTCCGATTTAGGATAGCGTAGATTATCGGTTCCTCATTCCAGTTGTTTATGAAGATGCCTTTTGAGAGTAGGCCCTACGCCATCGTTCCACGGCCCACATATGTTCGCCCGCCTTGTTCACCATCATACTTTCCCCGTCCGCCTCTGCCATAAACATCGCCTCATTCCACCTCATTGTCCTCGTTTTATCCCTTATTGGATGTGCTATAGGTTCCGCTGGCCCAGCCATTCTATCTCTCTTTACGGACTGTCCTCGCTCCATGTGATATCACAATGACGTATCCCTGTCAAACTGCGGCTGAAGCACTGTCGCGTCTATCAGTGGATTGTATCCGGATGACGTGAGGTACGACATAATGAGGGATGGGAATGGCATCGGAGGATAACCTGAAGCTTCCCGCACACATGCCGAGATCCGAGATGCCGTGACTCCTTCCATTGAGGCGCTCTTCCGAGGTCTGCCCTGGCTGCTGTTGTGTCATCCATAGCTAATTTTGGATGCCCCAGCGTTCATTCTCGTCACTCGAAGAGCTCGTTCTGGACTTGTCTCTGTCGCAGGTAAGCATCAAAACTGTTGCGGCTGATACCTTTCTTTCTTGTGGTTCAGAATTATCGTATAATTTCTAAAGTCAGCGACACCTCGCTAGGCATCTTTCTCTCGTTTCTGCCGTAGAATTGGTCCGGTTGACTTGCGATTTTCTTAGGCGTCGCTACTCACAGCTAAGACGTGGAACACATCTTTGTCGATATCGATGATGCGTTGCTGAGGCTTTGGATCCCTTACGGTTCACACACGTCTCTTTATCATGATTTGCCAATTTGACGACACTCATCTCTGATACCTTTTTTATTTTTATTATGCGGTCCGATCTATGTTGGATTATCGATTCCCGCCCAAGTACTTCATGGATGACTCTTTCGGACTTCCTTCCAGTTTCCACAGATCTTCATATCGAATAATATCGCCGTCTCTCCGCTCGACTGACCTATGTACCTTAAATTTCAGTGAAAAAATATCAGGCTTATTGCGAGGCCCGGGTGACCTCATACTAAAAGAGCAAACCGACGATTATCCCGATTTCTGGGTTGGCTTGATCATGAAGGCTTGGCTTACTGGAGTAGTGTCGCATAAGACCAAAATTACTCCTGTAACTCTTTATTCATAGACAGGGAATTGAACCCCGAAATATCGCCGAGATGTGAACACGATACCATTGACCGTTATGCAATATACGAATGATTTCTTTGTAACTGTCTGTACCCAGGAGCGAAGAATATATTACTGTCTCTTCTTTGGTGCAAAGTTCGTTTATGACCAACTCGGCGAAGTCGAGATAATATTGAGCAGACAGAAAAGTTATTATTTGAAAGGGAGTTGTTCACAGGTACTCCACATATTCACAGCCCCGCCTTCTATCTCTTGCGTCCTCACCTATTTCGTTATCCGTGGTCTCGTCAAGTCACCACTGTACTCTTCCGAGGAAACTCTTTGAACCTAGACTCGAATGTCAAGAGTAAGACGCAGAGAGCTCTCGTTAGTATGAATCTTTTCCCGTCGCTTGTTAGGATATGATACGGTTCGCACGACATAGAGTTCAACAACACGGCGTTTAAATAAAACGCAAAGGGGAAAATTGTGTCCGAGGCTTCGGCCTTAGATACCTAGAGCGGCATTCCACCAGTAAATAAGCGGGATGAGCGGCAAAGGCCGTATCTGCCAACTGCGGTGACGAACATACCATCGTTTGAGTAGAGTTCATCCATTGTTCAAGAGTTATCCTGCTCTACGTATGCGTGGAGTGGCTATTTTCTGTAGAAGAACTTAATGGTCAAAGAATTGGTCGACGATGGCGGTGGTCCTTAAGTTAGAGGATCGTTGAAGACGAAGCGAAATACGAACAAACATTTCGGTCGCGTCCCTGATCGGTTTTCAACGATCATCAGATTCAACGTTCCCCTGACGACGTCTGCGTTTCGCCGTGTCGCGAGTTTTTCATGCAAAACCATGAAATCGTGCTCAAAGTACGCTGCTCATTCTCATGGCGTTTAATCAGGCGCATCACATGGGCATAGCTTTCAGTTATCATGTCTGCGACACTGACTCTATACGAACCCTTGAAAACCCTTAACACCAATGTATTCTGCAAGATAGGCACATATAAACCGTCGGGAGTTTCATTGCTTGTTGCTTCTCACCTATCATATATCAACACTCTAGTAGCAGCCTTGTTCAATGCAGAATTGCTCGAGTCACCAGGTGTCTCATTTATCGCGTCTGAACGTGGTGGTAACACACCCTCCGTTGGCTACTGGTACAACCAACCTGTTCTATCTCACACAAACTTCACGCGACGATACCAGTTCACCATCGTCCTAAGAACCAAAGATGCCTTCACAGAAAGCGAAGAAACACTGGTAGACCCCGACGACCTTGTTTCACCCGCTTCAGATTCAGTAGCGAGAAATCAGAGCCATGTACGTTTCTTGCGACGTATCATCTTTCACCATTTGATCTTCCCGTAGGGACAACAATGTCATCCCCTACAACTCCCCCTAATCCTCTACAGATATCATCGATTATCCACCGGCAGATCTAACATTAACGCTGTACGCACTAGCGCCTTCTACGTCATTAACACAGTCCACGACTACGTATAAATACGGCTGGATAGAAACATCTTTCACTTTCCAAAACTGATCCTTTCAATAGGGATGGGCTAGGAGCCGGGTGCCATTGCTAGCAGGTATACCATATTCGAAGATAAAGAGTATTCCGTGCGCTCCGAATACTACTAAATTCAACGTAATTAGCAATCTTACCAAGAAAGTAGACTGCCGCGTGCTTTTCTCGTGGTATAAGAGTCTATCATCATGGATACCATTATCTGAAGAACGGAAACCTAGCTCACGAAATGATTCGCGAAGATAAAGGATACAACTACAATTACGAGTTTGTTCAGAACATACACCTTTGCACAGGAAAAAATCTACAATATAAATCCGAAAGGACTACGGTCTTTGATCGAAACGTGAGGTGAACGACCCATAATAAGTTTACATTTGATACCAAATACGCGCATTTTTGTGTTTTCCAGGAATGTCCGGTACACAACCACGCAGCGGATAGGAAGCATACTCATTGATACCAATGAGTACAGCCCAGAATATAGAGGCGTCGACACTGTGTGGAGCCTACAATGCGAGCAATTAATATTATGGGTTACGACGACTGTGGTTGCGACTTACACCTGGAGCGGATGGAGAGACTTCCAACTTGAATGGCAGATTCCTCTGAGAACGACCATACTGAAGGCGGAGGCGATAGTGGTTTCGGAGTCATGCAAGACTTAGAGAATAGACTACATCATGCAACACCTTGTTCTTGACCTGGATGAGAATTATAAATCAGTCGATATCCTCCGAAGAAATCCCCAGTTGCTCTGCTACCTGAAACTCAAACTTTTCCAGAAGCCGTATTTCTTCTGAAACTTGTGCTGAATCCAATAATATGAAATCAGACTAGAAGTACAAGGGCAAATCAGAGTTTAGATGGAGAAAAAAGCGAGCCAAGGACGAACATCAGCGGGCACAATCGGTCCTTGTGAGGTGTTTGAATGGATTGGTGGCCTACAGTGATAACGGGACCGTCTCATAGGGTCAAAGAGGGAGAATGCGGGAAAGGTAGCGATAGTCGCGGTTGTAGCTACGAACAAGTGGAGAACTACGGAAGTCCTGCCCGAATTATGCACGTGATCACGGATGAACCGGACCGCGTCCACGCTCCCAACAATGATCTCAATGTAATCACATATCGGGACCGAGGTGTATTCTTAGTTGTAAGCGCACACATAATCTCTTGGCAGCACTGGCGGTCTAGTCGGGTTTCCGGGGATCCAAGTCAACCGACGACGACCAGTTTGAAAATTGACATATGTCTATACAATCACGGCCATCATGGTCGTATATGGCCGTATTGGTTCTGGATACTGCATAGTAACGTAAGCGACATCGTGATGCTTCCTTCTTACCCGACCCTCAATGCACCAGTGGGATCTCCCATACAAAATGCTCTCATGCATAGTGCAGTTCACCAACCCCATTGATCTTCGCACTCTTTGTCTCACGGAGAATCACATCTTATGTCACATAGGTCGTCCTTTCCTTTGGGGGAAAGATACCACCTAGAAACTCAATCCCAGCCTCTTTTCAGTTGACTCTGGGTACCTTGCCGCTGTCAATACCACCTCCTTGATCGTTGTGAGGATACTTATTAATTCCCCAAATATTCACACAAATGGTCAGTGTGAACTATGTTCGCATGAGATATGGATATGGCCTCTTCAACAGCTTAGTTCTTTAGAATTCGATACCATCTCATGATATTGGAATTGAATGCCTATTATGCAAAATCACAGGACTTTTCTGATATGATGTCCTTCCCTTTACGCAAGCTATATGCATCCTCCGATGACATTCCAATGTGCGCTTTGATCGCGGATCCCTCGATGACAATGATTTCAACGTCTATGAGCAAGGTTCATCCCCCTGTATCGGATCTTGCAGTGACTAACCCACTCATAGGCCCGAGCGGTGAGTCTAGCATATTGGCGTAACCGTATGGCGAATCAGACACCCATCTTGGTAAAATCAGAAGATCATGCCTCGTCGAGGTGTGCTGAGATGCGGGATGCTGCTGACTTTGGGGTAAGCTAATCTCTTTATTCTTCGTGAAGGTGATACTAATTGGGCGCCGCAGACACGTCCCCCAGCAGCTTGTTTAGATATCCTACTCCTGAAAGACCTGATTCCAAGGCTCGTCAAGGAAATATCTCCCTTTCCCGTCGTTATATAAAACTCCTCGCAATGTCTCCTGTGAGTTTCCTGGTGCGTTTCTCTCCTTGTTTGAATCATACGCTGAATAATTCTAAACACTTTAAGGCTTCTACAAAAGTGAGTATGATTTTTCAAGTCGCACAGTTGTGTCGGAACATCCACGGTCGTCACAACCGGGTTACGGATGCACAACAACCATACTTCTTGAGCTCAACAATGAATGTTATCTCTTTTACCCCGCTAGCGCATGAGGAAGGAAGGTAAGCCGTAACTAGCTAGGTGACGTATCTTGTTGTGAAAATTCCATTTCACGCGCCCCAACCATCCGTTTGGCAGGGCTTTGGTACATTGAAAGCCTTCAGGGGCATGTGAGAACAAAGACTCACTCGAAGACACGGAACCGAATATTGTCGAAGATGCTCTCCTCCTACCATCATCGCCACCGACCCTCCCTCTCGTAACTCTGCCATCCCTTCTTTTGTTTTCCCCCTTGATTGAAGGTATTGACTTCGGAGTATCGTTTCCTTGGAGAAATGTACGTGGCGGGGATTTTTGATTACTGACAGCAACCAACCGTCAGACTATTCTGTCAAACCTGCGCTTTGCGCTCCATGTTTCCTCACTCTCAAGGGTATACGAAGGACGACCAATGGCACAACGACTTGACACCACAATTGAAGCATAGAGCTTCACCAAAAACGAAGAAAGAGAGACTTAAAGGGAGCGCAGCGGAGTACCAGCGCATGGATGATTTTTTAAAGGTATGTATGTTACCGGCTTTTTTAGCGTCCAGCCAACGCTAAACGTTAAACATCGATCGCTCCAGAAAACCCTTTCTGTTGCACCACATTAACGAGAAAGGAAGGCATATTTTCAATAGCTCATTCCGACCTCGCTGCCAAGGAGGTCTACCCTAAGTACTCTATCACCCACACTCTGAATAACAATTCACGTGGACGTACAATCAGGAGGTAGAGTCACTGGTGGTGCTCATCGAGGCCTGAGAGTGCGTTAAATCTGGTTTCACATGTCGCAGGTGGTTCGTCAGTGTGCTTTGTGATCCTTCCTCGGGCTGACATTTCCCATTTAGTACTGTGTCGACTATTATTTCCTTGTTCCCAGTTTCTATTGTGACTCCTTTTGAGAAGGTGCTTGCCCCACATGTTTTCTCCCATCTTGTTCGCCGCCATGTCGACCCTCAGTGTATGTGTCCAGCTTCATCTGCTCCGGCATAAACATCCGCCTTATCCTGCATCCATTATCCTCGTTTCTCTCTCTTAACAGACTCGCCACGGATTCCGCCGCCCAGACCATTCTATGTCTGTCATACAAATAGTCACCACCGACTGTCCTCGCTCCATATGATATCCCGATGAAATATGCACGTCAACCCGCAACCGAAG